GATTCTTGTCAGTCCTAATTTTTACAATCATGTGTGCATTCATTTTGGCAAATATTTTTAAATCTTTAGCAGAATGCATGATGCGCATCACTGCTCTCAGGATATATAATTGCTATAACTTATTGTTTACTATTGCCAAATCTTTGGAATAATGAGCATTATTACTTTGTGTGGCAAAATGAGTTCCTTGCTCACATTTGTCAGCATTAACAGTACCACAGCTTTGGTGTCAAACTTGACCTAGAGCAGCCCAGAAGCTGGACCTGGAGCCAAAATATTGCTCACTACATCTGGTGCTTAGGAACTGGGAGTCAGGAGGCTGAAAGAATTAATACAAATAGATCATCAAGTCATAAAGGTCCTGAGGACGGTCTCAGAAACCAAAGTACCGAGCAAGGAGATCAGAAGAGATCAGGGAATAGCAGGCAGAGTGGGCAGATGAGAGAGGGGGTTGTTTATACCTATGAGAGATGAGAGCTGCTGTTGGAGGTGGTTTTATTGATTCCCAGCAGTGAGGAGAGAGCTATAAATTCATTCTGTTAATGTTTACTGAGCACTCACTACCAATTCACACATATGGAAGATAATTCTGTGCAGTAAGTATATAAACAAGGCTCAAGGAAGTGCAGAGGAAAGAGCAATTAATTGTGCCTGGAATTTTTCAGGATAGATTTCATAAAGAAGGCTGCCATCAAGAATAGATTACAGATTGGATACAAGTTTCTCTTTACTAATGATCAGGAAGAGGGCTTCAGATAGAAAAAGGGAATGAAGACAAAATGTGAAAGAGCACAGGGAGGGGATGATTCTTACAAAAAGAGCACTCTGGTTGCTGTTTGGAGAAAAATTTAGAAAGAGAAGGCATTAGGGAAGACAGGTGAATCAGACAAGATGATGTGATAATAGGAAAGGTGAGAGATGGTAGTATTGAAGATGGTTGGATTGGAGAATATATGTACATGCAAATATATATATATATATCTGCATCTCCAGTCTTTGGGTTTCAAACTATATACACACACACACATTTGCACACACATAGTTAGAGTTATATACAGGTATATATTCACATATATAGACATCATAACGAAGATTAATTTGGATTGTACATTGTATCAGTCAGTTTTGGTGTTATTATAAAAAAAAACCTGAGATAATTAACTACTAAAAAGAAAAGGTTTATTTTGTCTTATGATTTTCGAGGGTCCAGTTCATATTTGGGTGGACCCATTGCTTTTGGGCCTGTAGCGGGTGGTACATCATGGAAGGGGCACATGGTAGAGCAAAACCACTCATTATCCAGAAAGCAAAAGGAGAAGAGGAGAAGAACAATACCTTCTGTTTCTTCAAAGGCATGATTCCTTAGGTCTAAGGACCTCTTGCTAGTCCCAAACTCCCCAAAGTTTCACTACCTTGAATGGCTTTTAACACATGAACCTTTGGGTTCCAAACTATAGCGCATGTGTAAAATTAGTAAAATGATGTGAAAAAGGATGCCCCTGGGCTGTAGGATGAATAAACAGACAAAAGTTGGTGTCATGTATGGAAATCCTGGGAGAGAATGAATTTTTGCTGTTAAAAGGTAGATTATTTGTTCATTCTTAGGTAAACTGAATTTGAGGTAAGGGTGATACACCCACGAAATTCAACATAGAAGTCCAGGTTTCAAAGGAGGGGTCTGGGTTGATGGTATCAATTCTTCACATTGAACAGTTCTCATGCTCATTCAAAAATCAGCTTAAATGACCTTCTCAGAGGGGGCTCCCCTTCTTCCTCCAGGCATTCACTAATTCCACCCCCCCACACAC